ACTAAGATTCAGCCTGCGTTGTACGATGTGTTTTCTCCTCATCCCATTTCCGCTTGCTGGGATACCAAAAACGTTATCGACGAAATTTTCGCCTTGAGCATGGGGGTACTAGAGAACCCCATCTGCATGCACTAGGATATAAATATGCATGCTGGTCCTAGTCAATGGGGCAACGGCGGCCGAGGACAACGCAAGCAACTTGCACGACCACTGTACGCATACACATATTCTTCTGCATGCGCAGAAAAGCACCCAGCCACAGATCTTTCAACACCGGACAACGAGCAAACAACAGCGGCGGATCGGCAGCAACAGTAAGTGCCAGCAGCATTCATCAGAGAAGCATTACAGAGAAGCAACCAGCGGGCAGCAGCTCGATATCAGCGGAATGAGCCTACCACGCGCTCCAAAGCACTCCGCATTGCTCGGCTTGCAGCAAATGCCAATGGAAGAATTCAGATTAAACCCGAGGCGCTTGCAACAGGGACAACGGCAAAAAAGTCGAGAAAGACACGTGGGAGGAAGCGGAGGAAACCATAGACAGCTTAACAGCACACTTACATGACGCTATCTGGTTTGTCCATAAGACACCATCTGAGGCAATTCAATGAGGAACAAGGAAAAAACCTAATTGAACAGCAGACACTAGGGAAACCGAAGGGAGCCCGCCTAATGACTTAGGCGCAAGATATCATAAAGACAGCGTTTTCTGCACTCTGTGGCATTAGGAGAAGGCGCAGCAGGGACAACAGGATCAACAAAGTGAAGAAGCGAGCACTCGAACGACAAGTACGAAATGCGCGTCGCCGACACATCACTATCCTTAAGGAAAAGTCAGCATAAAGCCTCCAAGCACTCTATACCAGAGACAGGTGGAAGTGTTTGGAGCAACTACTAGCTGACGGAGATCAAACTAGAAACCAAGACTGCCCAATACAACTCAATGAACTGGCGGCATACTTCAGCGAACATCATTCGGAACAATCTGTTGACCCCACTTATCAGGCTGCTCGCGAGTTCCTAAAGCCGTTGGCTGCCGCCCCAGAAGGAGCATACAGGATTGATCCACACTTCAGCGTAGAGGATGTGCGTCCTCAGCGCGAAAGAGCAGCCTTAGGTCTACAGTAGGCCAGGGTGGGATAGGTTTCCGTGTGTACAAGTGGTTGGAAGAGGTGCTGGTTCCAGATATGACTGTGATTTACAATGCTTGCTCTCAGCATCGAACAGTGCCACTGCGGTGGAAAGAGAGCGTGACAGTGTTTATTCCGAAGGGAAGCGACCGTAATGATACACAGAATTGGCGAGTCACCAATATGCAGGATTGCACATACAAAATCTATGCAGTACTGTGGATAAGCAAGATTACCAGCTGGGTATTTAAGACAGGATTCGCCTCCACTTGGCAGAAGGGTTTCATGCCAGTGAATGGATACTATGGGCATCTGTTCCTTGCCCAGAATATTCTCCACTCAACATACAAAGGCAAGGAGTCACTGTACGTGTTGTATTACGGCTTCTAAAGCGCATTTTAGTATACCTCTCATTAGCTGATTCACTTCGTCTTGAAGGCTCACTCGCTTCCGAAGCATGATCCTGAGATCATCACTCATTACTATGACGGAGAGGGCATTCGGCATCTCAACTCAGGAGGGTTACACCAGATGAATAGAGAACAGGAGGGGAGTCAGGCAAGGCTGGTCTCTTAGCCCTTTTCCTTTTCAACCTTGCCATGATCGAGCCGCTATTGCAGAGACTGGCGCAAGGAAATCAGGCCAAGATTTACGTACAACAGATAGGAAGCCAGCGATAAAGGCCTCTCATTATGGCGCACGCAGATGAGTTGGAAACTATTTCCAGCACCCGTAAGGGCATCAGCAACCTTCACCAAGTGGTAGCAGGCTTCCTTCAATGGACGGCATCAATGCCCAGCCTGTAGTAAGCATCGCCTTCTGCTTCTACTACTTACCTACCCTGCGTACACCTACTAGGTGCACACTCATTATATGAACGTTACAGGCAACGCATAACCCTTGAAATAAATTTAAAATACAAAAACATTGTCTTTAGTGTATTTCCGAGGTTGCTGCCCAGAGCACTCTTAGCCTAATTGCCTTACTTCCTGTCTAGAGTGATTTGATTTATTTCTAATAGGATATTCTTTACATGCTTTCAGCTGGTCGGATATCCAGATGCCCAGTTAGAGAATAACTGTAATGGATGCGCACTACACAACCCGTCCGTGTGCAGTACGTTGGGACCGAGGGTGGACAAGACCGTGCAATGAGATGATCCGGTCCAACTAATGCTGCAAAGGAATTCTTGCCCTTGGTGAAGCTGGGATAGGCGTACAAGTACCTGGGGGTGAAAGATGCACTAGAGACTACAGTGCAACAGAGCCACATGCTTCATGCCATTACCAAGACGTATCCAGACGAAGAAGGATATTAAGCACTTCACGTCAGAGCTCCTCGCCTTGGAGAATTTGTATGCGATGATCATTTGTGCGATGTGTCAGCTGGACTATCACCTCAGGCATTGCTATCCTTCCAAACTGCACGTGGTCGATCGACATCTAGTGCCGTTCAGGAAAGGACACGACAACCGACGTGTCCCATCAACCCATTCCGAGTGGAGGGGGGATGGGCTGTACATCCATACAGACGATAGCAACAGCGACACTGTCTAGTATGCAGATGCCTACAAGCAGGGGTTGCATGATCCGGAAGGTTGCAGCCCGTCAAGTGCTTGAGGCCATCAAACGGCCTTCCTATACATGCCTGCGAATGATACCTGTAATTGAAGACATTCTTGCCTACTTCAACAGACGCGATATTGGATGTCCGAGGAGAAGCAAGAAAGTGCATATAAGAAGCTTGCGGTCAGAGCTTCTGGGTAGCATATGGGTGAGCAAGACGCGACTCGAGACTGGGAGTGATGGGAGCTTGAATGCTGTTCAGGCAGCAGAAAACTTCTACTTAGACCAGAAGACCTCATCAGAAGCATCCAGCAGCATACGGCAACATGGTAGCGAGGTGTGGGGAAGGAAATGACAGATCAAGGGAAATCCGTGCCCCACCACACATCAAGTAACAATGCTGCCTTCAAGGGACCCACTCCCCTGAATTAAGAGGAAGTAAGGCTCGCAATGAAAAGACGGGCTTCACAGCTTCCTACAAGAGCATACATCTAGACCTTCCAAGTTTCAACGGTTTCACGCTGCCGCCACTGCACGGCTGACGCTGAAACCCTCGCTCATGCCCACACATCGTAGACATAAGGATAAAGACCAGATACAAAAAGGCACTGGGAGGTATCAAAAACACCTATCAGTAACAGCGTGGTTATCAGGAGGAAAACGACCGAGTTTGCTCGCAGACCAGAAGACGTGGAGACAATACTGAGGTCACACATCATCCTGAGAGACGACAGCAATTGTGGGCTTTGTCTTCGAAGGCTACAAGTAGAACTCGTTTGCTGCAGCCTGCACTTACAGGTAGTGTTGTACAAAAGCCTCAGGAGACACTTTAAAAAACATGGGTATCGGGTGAGAGTGCAGGCACTAATCGGTCGATCTCTAGGTGGTATTGCACAAGTGAAGAAAAGCATGCTCACACAGGAGCTTCGGATCGCAGACTGCACAGCATCGGGTATCCAGCGTGTCATCAGTACTGACTGCATTCAGCATAGCTGTCAAGTATAGGGTTTTCACTTAGCCGGCAGTTGTACAAGACGAGCACGAGGCGGAGGTCGCTCTCGTGCGAAAACTACACAGAGTGTATGATGATCTAATGACGCCAAAACTAACTGGCGAGGTGTGCGTGCATATATAATATATATATGTATATGTGCTTGCATGTATTTGTCGCCTTGCCCCTACGGGGGGTATTGAACAGCCCCACCTCACTGCTAACAGGCGTAAAATTTGAATAGACTTTCTTTCGTTTCTTGCTGCATGGAGAAAGCAGCCATCGTTCTTGCGAATAAACAAACAAACGAAAGAGGAAGCAAAGCACGAAACCAAAATGAGCAAATTGCACAAACAGAAAATAAAGAGGCGTATGTATTTTGTTCGTTTGCCCCGCAACTAGCGAGATAATTAACAGACAAACAGAAACAACAGACAAAGAGACAAAAATGCATTCATCTGCTTGCAAACAGGCAATCAGCCCTTAGCCACGTGCTGAGACACCCTAAACCCTAAACCCTAAACCCTCGTATCGTGCGCTGGTGCTTACCATACTTCCTCTTCTTCTGCATCCGCCTAAACAATGAAACAAAATAAAATAAAACGATAAAAACCAAAGCTGCAGCCCCCAGCCTCTGCTATAGATGCATTGGCGCCAGAAGGCCACAAGTTCAAACAAACGGACGGCCCTCCCCCACAGCAAAATGCTGCTGCTGCAGCTCCTGCTGCAGGAAAGTAGACCAACAACAGCAACAGCTGTTGCTGCTGCTGCTGTTCATAAAGATGCCGCAGTGGCTAAACCTGCCGCTGCTCCTAAAGTTGCCGCCGCTGCAGCTATGACTGCTGCTGCTGCGTATACAAGTGCTGCTGCTGCTGCTGTTAGAAGTCTTGCTGCTACTGCCAAAGCTGCAGCTGCAATAGCAGCACTCAGATCATGGAATTGGCTGCGGAGGGCGCCGAATGCCGCCGGGTATTGGCTGCCCCTCCTCGTGTTTGTACAGCCGCGGTTGTCGCCAACGAAAGGCCTTGCGGTACTGCAAAACCACAAACCCTAAACCCTAAACCCTAAACGTTAAACCCTTGGCACTAAAACAGGAGGAGGGTAGATGCTGCAAGCAGCCTGCTTGTACTAGGCAGAGAGAAAACCCTAACGTCCGTGCAAAGGAATACAACAGCACCGCGTGGCCGTGGCATAGGCAAGACACTTAGGGTTTAGGGTTTAGGGGTTTACCTCCGAGACCTCCTCGTCGGGAATAAAACCCTTAAGCGAACCAGGCCGGTCATCTGGGTCCGCGTAGTGCTGTACGCCAACTCCAAACCCTAAGCCCTAAACCCTAAACCCTAAACCCTAAACCGCAGACCCTAACCCCAAACCATAAGCATCAATCCTCTCCCCCACACCGTGATTTCGAAACCCTAACCTTTATATCATAAACCCTTCGAGTGAAATTCCAACTCCTAGACCTCAAATGCTAAGCCCTAAACCTCAAACCTTTAGGGTTTAGGGTTGAATCCGAATCCTAAAAGGTTTAGGATCAGTGCAGGGCGAAATGCTTCTTCTCCTCACCTCTGTTATGAACTTCACCTGCGCCCCAGGGTATACCGAAGTTATCATGTATCTGCAGCAGCAGCAGCAGCAGCAGCAGCAGCGAGCGCAGTAGCTGCGTGCACTTCGAAGCCCTAAGCTCTTCTGCCCAAACCCTCAAGTCTAAACCCTAAACCCTAATCCCTAACGGCATGAGGTGTGCATACACCGCAGCATTACCTCGCCCACTCCTTTACTCCGAAGCGGTGCTGCAGCGGCCCTTGATAGACAAAAGAAAACTTTCCGTCGCATGCACACAGCAGCCGAAGAATGCCGCTACCCTGAAACAGCAGCAGCAGCGACAGCAGATGCAGCAGATGCAGAAGCAGCAGTAGGAGCACTATCCTGTAGCAGCAGCAAAAGCAGCAGCAGCTGCGGAAGCAACAAAAGCAACAGCTTCTACGCTCGGGGTGTCCTTCGCGTTTGTATAAGGCTGCAGGGAAGCATCAATAAGAGCAGCAAGAAAAGCAGAAGCAACAGCAACAGCAGCAGCAGCAGCAGCAGCGTACGTCTGGTCTAGTGAAGGTGGGCAGCACCCTTTCTATCTTTTTTATCTCCTAAGGACAAAAACATAATCCAAACGAGTTATCGTTGCAACAGAAACAACCCATGTCAGCAGCAGCAGCAACAGCAGCAGCAGCAGGAACGGCACAAACCAAAACAGCAGCAGCAGAAGCTGCTATTGCTGTTGAGGCAAGAGTACCTGCAGCAGCACTACCGACGCCAGCAGCACTACGCAGCAATTGCATCACAAAATGTTGCTGCAATGGCATCACCAGCAGCAGATGCAGCAGCAGCAGATTCATCAACTGCAGCAGGTGCACAGCAGCAGCAGCAGCAAGTACAGCAGCAGCAGCAGCAGCATGCGATGTTTATTGTTACAGCAGGGTCTACACGGATGCCTCCTGCTGCTTCTTCTGCTGTCATCTTCGTATCTGCTGCTCTCCCTAAACCCTCTTCTTCAACAAACACCAAAGAACCTTCTCGCTGCTCAAACAACCTGCATCAGCACCAGCAGCAGCAGCACCAGCAGGTGCATGCACAGCAGCAGGGGAAACAGCAACCAGCTGCAGCAACTGCCCCTCGAAATGCTTCAGTTACCACAGCAGCAACAAGGGTAGACGGAACAACAGCAGCAACAGCAGCAGCGCTACCAGCAGCAGCAGCACCAACCAAGGCAACTACAGCAGTAGCAACAGCACCAGCAACAGCACCAGCAGCAGGGACAGCAGCAGCAGGGACAGCAGGAGCAGCAGCAACAGCAGCAGCGGCAACAGCAGGAACCTACACTCTTTGTGCGAGAAGGTTTGCTGTTTGATAATCGAAGGCTCTGTCTGGTTGCTGCTGTCCCAACTCAAAGGCGAAATCGACAGACAAACGACGCACACGATGAGGCCCGTCATCTACTAAAGGAATGCCAAACGCATGCAACCTGCTGCTCCTGCTGATGCTGCTGATGCTGCTGTTGTTGATGCTGCTGCTGGTGGTACTTTTTCTGAGGCTGCTACTGCTGCTGCTTCTGATGCTGCTGTTGCTGCTGCTTTTGCTATTGCTGCTGCTGCAGGAAGGTGGAGGGACTGCAATTCTGTTCTGCGGTGCCGCTGCCCTTCTTGCTGCTGCTGCTGCTGTTGTTGTTGCTGAGACAAAAGAACAGCAGCGAGGCCTAGAGACAGCAGCACCTGCTGCTGCTGCCGCTGCTGTTGGTGCGGTTGTTTGCTGAGAAGGCGCTCCATCTGCAGGCAGCACTGCTGACCTTGAAGAAGAAATCACCCCGCACATGCCAGAACGAGGCAGAAGCAACACAAGCAGCAGCAGCAGCAGAAGCGGCAGGGGGAGCAGGCGCAGCCGCTGCTGCCTTAGCAGCAGCAGAGTTGAGGACATCATCTACCTCTGGGCTCAAACCCACATTTGCTGCAGCAGAAGACACAAGGGGAAGCTCGGCTGGTGCTGCTGCCGCTGCTGGTCTTGCTACTCCTCCTCCTGCCGCTCCTCTTGCAGCAGCAGCAGCAGCAGCTGCTGCTGCTGCTGCCGCCTGCTGCTGCCGACGCTGTTGCTGCCGACACCAATTGCAGCCTTCCTTTCCACCTGATGGACCACTGTAGACGCTGTTGTTGTTGCTGCTTCTGCTGCAACAGCAGCAACAGGAGCAGCAGCAACAGCAGCAGGAGCAGCACCAGGAGCAGCTGCAGCAGAAAGTCTAGTGAGGTACGGCGCAGCCGTTGCAACAGGAAGAACGGGGTTGCATAGAAGCAGCAAGGAGAGGGCTTTTAATGAAAAAACCTACAAAAACAAATAAAATACTAACTAATTTGAAATAAATAACTAATTTAATCAGTTATTTGACCCGCTTTCACTGCACTGAATCTGCTGTTGCCGCTGCTGAAGTCGGCTGGGGGGCCCCCCGGGGTTTGCGTTGCATGCAGCAGCAAAAGAAGAAAAGTTTTCTTCTTTTTTGTTCTGTTTTCTCTCCAATACATATTTGCTGTTCACACATTAAATGACAGGAACGCGATCTCCTTCTACATGCGCTCGGCCGCTGCTGCTGCCGCCGCTGCTGCTGTAACAAGACATCTGCCTGGGGGGCGACGACAGCAGCAGCATACAGCAGCAGCAAGCAGCAACAGCAAGCTGCAGCAACAAGCAGAAGCAGCAGCAATTGACAAAACGGCTGCACATCTGATGCAGACAAGCAGCCATTAGGCAGGCGCAGTCGATCCAGCAGCAACACCAGCAACAGCAGCAGCAAGCAGCACCACGCAGCTGCAGCAGCAGCGGCTGCCGCAACAACAGAAGCAACAACAGAAAAAGCGGCATCAGCTCACAAACCGAATGCGCTAACCACACCAGAACCACCAACAAACGACCCTGCGGCGGCAACAGTAGCAGCAGCAGCAGCAACAGCAGCAACAGCAGCAGCAACAACAACAACAGCTTCAATAGAAGCAACACCAGCAACAGCAGCACCAGCAGCAGCAACACGGGCAGCAGCAACAACCCCAACACCAGCAGCAGCAGCAACAGCAACCGCAGAAGCAGCACAATGGGACGTCTTGCTGCTGCCTTGAGGCGTAAGCTGGGCGCTCGCTGCAGCCGCTGGCTCGGCAGCAGCAGCAAAAGCAGCAGTTTGCGCAGCATGACGCGGGAGGAGAAGCTGCAGTTTTTGCTGTTGAAGCTGAGGCCTCTCGGGTATTTATTTATTTATCTATTTTGCTTGTTTGCTGTTTCTGTCTTGTTTTGTCTCTGATATAACTAATTAAGTTTTCTTCTTCTTCAGGCGTATGCACACCTTTCTTCGCTGATCTCACACATGCTTCCTGTTGCTACGGCTGTTGCTGCTGCTCCTACTGTTGCTGCTACTGCTGCAATCGCCTTTGATTCCCTTGTTGCTGCTGTTGCTTCTGCACTTGTTGTTTTTGCTGCGGCTGCTTCTGCTGTTTGTGCTGCTAATTGGCTTTTGCTTCTGTGTGTGTTACCTCTGTTGTTTTTGCTGTTGCATTGCTCTTGCGTGTGCTGCTGCTGCCTTTGCTGCTGCCTTTGCTGCTGCTGCTGCTGCAGGCCTTTGTGTTTCGTTGCTGGCTTTATTTTTTTGATTTGTTTACCTTCTTTCCCTCACCCTACTGAAGTAGAAGAGCATTCATTTGCTGTAGGACAGCACAAAGCAGCAGTTAGCAGCCCCCAATCTGCTGCTGCTGCTGCTCTGATGCCACTTGCTGCCTTCGTATACCTGCGGCTTGAAGCTGCTACTGCTGCTGCTGCTGCTGCTGCTGCTGCGGGCCGCGCTGCCGCTGCTGCACCCTGCTACTCCGGGCCCCTCAAGCCATCCCAATATCCCTTTATCTTCCTTCCTCAACTCCGCAGCGAGCAGCAGCAGCAGCAGCAGCAAAAGCAGCAGCAGCAGCAGCAGCAGTGTTCTGAAAAGCAAGCTCCAGCGTTTTTGCTGGAGTTGCATTCTTTGTTTGGCGCTCTGCAACTTGAGTCTTCGCTGCAGCCCTTTTACCTTATGGAACCCCAAGCAGCAGCAGCAGCAACAGCAGCAACGGCAGCAACAAGCACGGCAACAGCAACAGCAGCAGGAGCTGCAGCAACAGCCGCAGCAGCGACTCTGCATTTTAACTTTGTAGGAATTGCGCGCAGCGGCAGAGGAGACGGAAGAGAAGCAATTGTACTGCCGTTTCTCTTCGACTTCAGCGACCCCCCAGCTGTGCCTGCTGCAGCAGCAGCAGCAGCAGCAGCGGCAGCAGCAGCAGAGGAAGAAGCAGCGGCAGCAGCAGGTGCTGCTGCTGCCGAGGCGATGCATGTGCTGCTGGAAGCAGCAGGCGTTGAGGGAGCAGCAGCAGCAACACTGCCAGCTGCTGCCCTCTCTCAGCTAACTTTTGCCGAGCTGCTGCAGCTGCTGCAGCAGCAGCCAACCCTTGATGCTCTCGCAGCAAAGCTGCGGCAGCAAGGCATTCGCTTGTCTGCGCGTGTTGCTGCTGCTGCTGCTGCTGCTCTGGCGCTGCAGCTGCAGCAGCAGTCACCGTGGCTAGCGAAGGACGTCATTATCATCATCGCCGATCGACAACTGCCCTATGCTGCAGGTGCTGCTGCTGCTGCTGCAGTTGCTGCTTTGCTGCTGCAGTATGGTTTGCAGCAGGATTCGCTGCAGTGTCCCGTTGCTGTTATTTCGGTGCAGCAGCAGCATCTGCTGCTCGTCCTTACGTTGTTTCTGCTGCTGCTTCTGCTGCTGCTGCAGGTCTGCGTGCGTTTGCTGAATATTACTTTCGAGGCGCAGCAGCATGGGGCTTGCAACAGCAGCAGCAGCAGCAGCAGCAGCAAGGAGGTGGCGCTGCAGTCTCTGTCTTTGTTGGCGCTGCACTTGAACTTGTCCCTGACTCCCTGCTAGACCCAGCGTTGCCTGCAGTAGCAGCAGCAGCAGCAGCAGCAACAGCAGCAGCAGCAGCAGATGCTGCTTCTCAAGAGGATGCCAGGAGTGGGAACAGGATGCAAGATGCAAGAACAGCAGCAGACGCTGCTGCTGCTGCTGCGCGCGCAGCAGCAGCGCGCTGGACAGACCCCCATGTGCTGCCGCGGAGGCTTCAACCGCAGCAGCTGCTGCATCTTCAGCAGCAGCTGCAGCAGCAGCAGCAGCAGCAGGACATAGGCACTTTGGCTGCGACAGACTACGGGTCAATCAGCTTTCTCCACGTCGAGTTCGGTCGGTGGCTGGTGCTGCTGTTTCTGCTGCTGCTGCTTGTTCTGGTGTTGCTGCTGCTGGCGTTGCTGCTGCTGCACCATCTGCAGTGGCAGTCGTGCGTCGTCGCATGTTTGGAGGCAGTGCATCTGTCTCTCTATTTTCCTGCTGCTGCGATTGTTTTTGATGCTGCTGCATTGCTGCTGCTGCTGCTGTTTGCTGCAGAAGGGGCTGATGGGCAGCTGGTGAACGAAGACATCGCCAACGTTTTGCTGATAGAGGCGCGCAGTGAAGTGCTCCCTACAACACTGCGCAGCGTAAGCCTTGCTGCTGCTGCTGCTGCTGCTGCTGATGCTTATGGTGGTTTGCTGCAGCTTCTGGCTGGTTTCTGCTTGCTGCTTTTTTGTCAGTGCAGCAGCAGCTTCCCGTTCCGGTTCGCTGTGGCAGCCTATGCAGCGGCACTTGCTTTATGCTCCTGCTGCTGCAGTTGTTGTAGCTGCTGTTGCTGCTGCAGCAGGTGCAGCAGCTGCTGCATTTGCTGCTGCTGCAACTGTGTTTTTCTGCTGCAGTTTTGGGAAAGCGCATGGCGGCCGGCCGTTGGGGCGGGGGCGCACACTGCCGTAGAGCCTCTCTTGAGGTTAGGGTTTAGGGTTTAGGGTTTAGGGTTTAGAATTTAGAGTTTTCTTTGTTTGTACTGCGGTGTGCTGCGGGGCATCTTTCGCTTTGCTTGCTTGAGGACCCTTCATCAGCTGCAATTCCTGCTGCCATTGCTGCTGCTGCTGCTGCTGTTGCTGCTGCTGCTGCTGCAGGGAAGGCATAAACATTGCGACGGCTGCTGCGCATGGGGCTTTCTCTGACGCCTTTTCTTTGTCTTCTTCTTCTTCAATTCGATGGCTGTCCTTAGTCTCGTAAGAGAAATATATTTATTTTCTTTGCTTGTTGTTGCAGCTGGCCGCAGCAGCAACAGCAACAGCAGCAACAGCAGGAGCAACAGTAGCAGTGGCAGATGCGTAGACAGCAGCTGTAGCGGCAGCAGCAGTCTCGGCGACAGCACCAGCACCAGCAGCAGCAAAGGAGGCGCACCAGCAGCAGCAGCAGCAGCAGCAGCAGCAGCAGCAGCATTATAACTGGTTGCAGCATGATTGATGTTTATGTGATGCTTGTTTAGACTGTTTGAACGCGTAATACGGAGCTGCAGCAACGTTGAGGTGTCTCTGTTTCGCTCTTTTTCTTCATTCTTCTTCATTGCGAAACATCTTCATTCTTCTGGAGGAGTATTTATTTTCATTACTCCTCTACTCGTACTCATTATTGCATTACCCGTCAGACATCTATGCACGCCTGCTGCTGATGCTGCTGCTGCTGATGCTGATCTCGCTGCTGCTGATGCTGCTGCTGCTGTTGGTGACGCTGGTGGTGTTGGTGCAATTTCGGGAGCTGCTTGAGGCTGCTGCTGATGCTTCTGATGTTGCTGTTGCTGCTGGTTTGAGTATCACTTTAGGTGTATCACTATTTGCTGCAGCTGCTTTGAAGCGGCTCTTAATGCTGCTGCTGCATCTTCAGCAGCACCAACTGCTGCTGCAGGCGCATTCTGTTCTGAGTGCTTCCGCCGGTGCTGCTGCTGCTGCGTTTGCAGCTGTTGACGTCTCGCATTGTCAGCGACTTCAGGACGTTTTGCTTGGGAATGTTGGGTGTATCTGCAGCTCTTGCTGCTGCTCTTCCTGTTTATCTCTCAGCTGCTTCTGTCGGTCTCTGTCTCCTGCTGCTGCTGCTGCTGCTGCTGCGTTTGCTGCTGCGTTTGCTGCTGCTGCTGTTCGAAGCAGCATTTGCTTTCTATCGACTGCGGTCTCGTGCTGTCTTCTGTGCTCTTCCACCGTGCTGCTGCTGCTGCTGCTGCTGTTTGCCGCTAAGCTGCTGCCGCTGAGAATAGTTTCCACAGCGATTTAATTATCGATGCATTATTTAATTAATTAATCTATTTATTTATTTGTACAGCCTTCCTTTTCTTCGTTTCTTTGGGGGGCTTCAGCAGCACCTCGCTGCATCCAGTGGCAGCACCGCGATCTTCTTATCTACTCACAGGTATAGCACCACTTGCTGCTGTTACTGCTGCTGCTGTTGCTGCTGTTGCTGATCTAGCTGCTGCTGAAGCTGTTGATGCTGCGCTAGCTGTTGCTGGTGCTCTGGCTGTTGCCGGTGCTGCTGCTGCTGCTGCTGCTCTAGCTATTGCTGCTACTGCTGCTCTAGCTATTGCTGCTGCTGCTCTCATTGGTGTTGCTTCTGGTTTGCTGCTTTAGAGGCCGCGGCAAGGAGCCTCCAGTTCTGCTGCTGCTGCTGCTGCTCTAGTTGTTGTTTGTTTCGTCGTTGGCGCAAGTGTGTGTCAGGTTGCTGCTGTTGCTGCTGCTGCTGCTGTTGTTGTGTTTATAGAAAGCAGCGGCGTGGCTGTATGCCGCAGTGCCTGGTTATTTGTTGCTGCTGCTGGTGCTGGTTTATGCGGCGTTTCGCATACGACGCATGCAGCTGCGAGGTATGACAACTTGCTGCTTCTGCTGCTGCGGCTGCAGCTGCTGCTGCTGCTGGTGCTCTTGGCTTTGCTGCTGTTGTTGTAGCAGCGAGGCGATGTAAGTTGCTGCTTGTCTTGCTGCTGCAGCACAGGAGCATGATTCTCAGCAGCAAGACCCAGGCGCCCTCTTCGCCCCGCTTACTACCCCCGAGCGTCGGGCAGCAGCAGCAGCGGCAGCAGCGGCTGCTGCTGCTGCAACACCAGCTGCTGCTGCTCCCGCTGCAGCAACAACACCTGCAGCTACTGCTTCAGCATCGCCCGCACACTCAGAGCCATCAGATGCAGCACACCAGCAGCAGCAACAGCAGCAGCAAAAGCAACAGCAGCAACAGCAGCAGCAAGAGGCGAACGAAGTTGCTCTTGATGAAGCAGCAGAAGTTTTGCTAGACCAATGGCTGCCGCCTGCTGCACCTCCTGCTCTGTGGCTCTGCATGCGCGCTGCTGCTCGCTTGCTGCTGCTCTCCATCTTGCTGTCCTTACTCGTAAACAACTGCTGCTGCTGCTGTTGCTACTGCTGGTCTTGGCCCTGCTGTTGCTCGTGGTGCTGCGGCTGCTGCTGCTTCTATTTGTGGTGGTGTTGGTGGCGCTGCTGCTGCTGCTGCTGCTTCTACTCCTGCTGCTGCTGCTGTTGGATATTGTTTGGTTACATGCAGCTTTGTTTGTTTGCTGCAGCTAGCGAATGTCTCATTGTCGTGGCTGCTAGGGGTTTTGCTGCTGCCGCCTCTCTTTCTGCTTGTGCCCCTCTTCCACGACCCTACGCAACAGCACCGGAAGCAGCTGCAGCAGCAGCTGCAGCAGCAGAAGCTGCAGCAGAAGCAGCAGCAGGAAGGGCAGCAAAAGGCTGGCACGGTGCAGCAGGGAGAGATGCGTGGAGAAAGAGACAAGAAAGCAGCAGCAGCGGAAGCAAGCAGCAACACAGCAGCAGATGCGGCAGACGTTCTGCGGCAACAACTGAAGCAGCAGCAGCAGAAACACAGGAGACTGCTGCTGAGGAAGGCAGCACTGGTGCTGCTCACTTGTCTGCTGCTTCTGCTGTTCTGCGACTTTGAAGCTCTAACGGTATATTGTCTCCTCAGCTGAAACTGTTGCTGCTACCGCTGCTGTTGCTGCTACTGGGGCTGCTTCTGCTGGTGCTGCTTTTCCTACTATAACTGCTGCTCGTACTATTGCTGTAACTGCTGCTGCTGCTGGTTTTGCTGCTGCTTCTGCTGCTTGTGCTGCTGCTGCTCTATGATGGCGTGTCTGTTTGCATGTACTTGATTGCAGGATTTAAGGTCTCGTCTTTTAGCAGCAGCAGCAGAATACGCGGGGTTTGCTGCTGCTGCTCTGAGTGGCAGCAGAAACCCTTCGCCAGAGCTGCTGCTGCAGTGGCTGAGCTCTGGCGTGCTCCAGCAGCAGCAGCAGCACGCGATGCCTTTCGATGCAGCAGCAGCTGTTGCTGCTGGAGACGCAGCAGCGCCAGCCTTTGCTGCTCCTGTTGCTGCTGCTGCTGCTGTTGGTCCTACCGCCTGGAGGGTACAAGCAGAAGATGCTGCAGCGGGGGGTATCTGGGTGCAGCAGCAGCAGCAGCAGGGGGTGCTGCTGCAGCTACTGCAGCTGCTGCTGCCTCGTCGGCCAAACAGTTTGCTGCTGCTGCTGTACAGTTTAGGTAGAGATTGCGTTTGCATTGGCAGCAGCACTTTCTTGTTGTTTGTCTTTGGTTTACTTCCTCTCTTATTTGTCTTCTTTCTCGTCTTCTTGCTGCTGCCGGCGTGAGGTGTACGTACACCTCAATAATGCCGCTGCTGCTGAGAAAGCAGCAACAACAGCAGCAGCAACACGTGGAGAAGCAGCTGCACGAGCAGCAGCAACACGTGGAGAAGCAGCTGCACGAGCAGCAGCTGCAACAGTAGCTTCTGCTGCAGCAGCAGCTGCTGCAGCAGCAGCACCTGATGCAGCATAGGCTGCAGCAGCTGCAGTGAACTTTAATACCCATTAAATTCTTACCTTGGCAGAGGCAGAGGACGCAGCAGCTGCAGCAGCTGCAGAAGCAGCAGCTGCAGAAGCAGAAGCAGCAGCAGCAACTGCTGCTACAATAACACTTCATGAGCTGCAGATTCGCCTTTCATATATATATATATATATGTATAGCTGTACATGTTTGTAGACAAATGCATATATATAATATATATTATATAATAGCACAAACAAATAGAAAGAGATAGCGAGACGAAAAATGAACAAAAAAAGGAGAACGCGCAAACAAACAGACAAACAAACAAACAAACAAACAAAAGTAAATAAATAAATAAATAAATAAATAAAACAGACACACAAACAGACAAGTAAACAAATAAATAAATAAATAAATAAAGAAATAAACAAATAAATAAGTAAAACAGAGAAGCAAACAAACAAGCAAGCAAGCAAACAAACAAACAAACATAGAGAAGAAAAACAGACAAAGGCAAGAAAAACAAAGATAAAGAACAAAGAGAAACACAGAGACACAAAAACAAACAAATATAAACAAACAAACAAAGACGAAAAACAAACAAAGAGAAGAACAACGAAGACAAACAAAAGCAGAAAAACAAATAAACAAGGAAGGAGCAAACAAACAAACAAAACAAAGTGAAGTAAAAAAACAAAAACAAACAAAAACAAACTGACATAAACATAGATAAAGAGGCGAACAAACAACAAAGATAAAACAAACAACAACAAATTGAAATGACAGAGCAAAGAAAGACAAAGACAAAGGCAGGAAAGGACAAGTTGCTGCTGCTGCTGCTGCTGCTGCAGAAAACACCGCAGCGCAGCAATTGAATTTGTATTTACCTTGCTGCTCTTCTTTGTCTATCTTTATGTTTTTTTTGTTTGTTTCTTTCATATTACATTACAGTATATTATATATTATTTATTATATCAGACTATATTATATATTATATATTATACATTATGTATTATACATTATATATTGTATATTATATATTATATATTATATATTCTATATTATATATTATATATATTATATATTATTTTGTTCATTTGTCTACATTAGTTTTATTTTTTACTTTTATTTAATTTTATTTTGTTTTATTTTTGCAACGACATTTTGTAATCTTCTCTGAACCTTAAAAAAAAACAAATCCAAAGTGCCTCAGCAAAGCAGCAGCTGCTGCAGCAGAAGCAGTAGCTACAGCAGCAGCTGCAGCAGCAGCAGCAAAGGCCGCAACAGCAGTGTCAGCTGCTGCTGCAGCAAGTTTACTGCGCAGTAGAAACGCCCCTACGGGGGCTATATCTGTTGTCTGCCTGTCTGGTTGCTGCTGCTGCTGCTGCAGTTGTTCCTGCTGCTTCTGCATTTGCCGCTGCTGCCTCTTTAATGAAGCTGCAGTTTTGCTGCTGTCTGCTGTCGATGAGGTGCTGCACCTGCTGCTGCAGCAGCTGCTGCTGCTTCCGCTTGAATACCGATTGTATTTCTCTTGCTGCATGCGCACAAACAAAACGCCACAGCAAATCTTCGTTTCCTGCTGCTGCTGCTGTTTCTGCTGCTGCTCCTGTTGCTTCTCCTGCTTCTGCTTCTGCTTCTACAGTTGCTGTTGCTGCTGCTGTTCTTGCTACGTGTGCTTCTCTTACTGCTGCCGTTTCTGCTGCTGCAGCAGCAGCAAATGGTGCTTCTTACCTGCTTTAGGGTTGGTTGCTGCGGCAGCTGCTGCTGCCTTGCGTAGGTTAGCCAGCACAGGGGCCTGTGAAACGCGGTGTAGAATTTGCTGCAACTGCTGCTGCTCCTGCTGCCGTTGCTGCTGCTGCTGCTGCGGCTGTTGCTGTTCCTGCTGCTGCTGCATGGCGAGGAGTTGGTTCAGCAGGTCTTGCGTGTCCGCACATCTCTGCAGCGGCAGCAGCAGCAGCAGCAACAGCAGCAAACATAAAAAGAGTAATAGGGGCATAAGACAAGGAGAGAGATATAAAAACAAAATAAACAAAAAGAAGAAGTGAGGAAGGAAGAAGCAAAGACACGCAAGACAAGACAAATAAATAAATAAATAACAAATAAATGAAGAATAATAAAGACAAAGACAAACAATAAATTAAAAATAAATAATGAAGAGACAACAGTAAAACACAAACAAAAAATAGACAAAGACAGAGAAAAAAATAATAGACAAAGACAAATAAAATATAAACAAAAGCAAAGACAGAGAGACGCTAACGAGAAATAAAAGATAAATAAAAGCAAAGACGGACAAAATATAAAGACAAGCGCAGTGAAAAGACAAACAAAAAGACAAAGACAAAGACAAGGAGAGAAGCACAAGAAACAAGTAAGACAATAATAATAATAAAAACAAATAAAATAAACAAAACAAATATTAAAATAATAAATTAATAAATAATAAAAGACAAACCTTCGCATGCACAGCAACAAGCCAGGCGTCTCCCAGTAATAAACAGCTCTCCTCACTACCGCGAGGAAAATTCAGCACCTACACACAACAGCAAATTGCTGCTGCTGCTGCTGCTGCTGCTGCTGTTGATGGTGCTGCTGTTGATGGTGCTGCTGTTGCTGGTGCTGGTGTCGATGGTGCTGCTGTTGATGGTGCTGCTGTTGCTGCTGCTGCTCAGACTGCTACTGTTGGTCCTGCTGCTGCTTGTGCTGCTGCTGCTTGTGCTGCAGTTGCTTCTGCTGCTGCTGCTGCTTCACTGTGTCTTTGCATATGTTTCTGTCTCTGCCTGTCTCTCTCTGTCTCTTTGTCTCTGTTAATCTGTCTCTGTCTAAGTTGGTTTCGTTTTTGTTTAATTTTGTTTTGTCTGCATTCTGTCTGTCTCCGCTTCTCTACCTGTTTGCTTCTCGAGCTTCTGCTGCTGCTGCTTCTGCTGCTGCTTCTGATGCTGCTATTGCTGCTGCTGATGCTGCTTCGTTGCTACTACTACTACTACTACTGCTGCTGCTGCTACTGCTAGCGAGTAGGCGTTTGCTGCATTACCTGCTGCTGCAGCAGCTGCAGCAAATCTCTCCTTGAGGCCAATGGCGTCCCTATGATTCGCCCTGCACAGACACCCCACTAGCTAGCTAGCTAGCTAGCTAAACAAACATCGAGCTAGCTAGCTAAACAAGCATCCGGCTATCCGGCTAGCTAGCTATCTAAACAACAATCTAGCTAGCTAGCTAAACAGCCGTATAGCTAGCTAGCTATCTAAACAGCGATCTAGCTAGCTAGCTAGCTAAAGGGCGAGTTGCATAGCTAGCCATCAGCCTCCCTGTCTCCATAGCTAGCTAGAGAGGTAGCTAGCTGGCTAGCTAGCCGCGTGTGAGGTGCCTCGACTAGCTGCTCAGCTGCCCGCTAGCCGCCGCTGCTGCTGCTGCTCCTGATCGCCAAGGCGAGACACAGCAGCAGCAGCAGCAGCAGCAGCGCCCCTCGCAGCAACGGACTCTAAAACACCTGTCTCTCTCCCTCCTTCCCTCCCTAGCTAGCTAGCTAGCTAAGATGCAGCAAGCAAGCCAGCTAGCTAGCCAGCTAGCTAGCTGTGTTGCTACGCACCTAGGACCTGTCTCGCTGCTTGCGGATCGACTTGCTGCACTTCGGAGACGCGAAAGAGAGCTGCTAAGGAGACAGACAGAGAGCCCTGCAGCTGCTGCTGCTGCTGCTGCTGCTGCAAATCCAACACTGAACGCGGCAGCCGCAAAGCTGCCTGCAAACCCACCACCCAACGGCACCTCCCACTGCTGCTGCTGCTGCTGCTGCTGCTCGCTACGCAAGCATCGCCCCTGTCCTGATGCTGCTGCTGCTGCTGCAGTTGCTGCTGCTGTTGGTCTCTGAGTTGCGAGAGAACCTGCATTACTTGCTGCGTCTTCGCTGCAAGGCTGAGGGGCCCCCTTCTTCCTGCTGCTGCTGCTGCTGCTGCTGCTGTCCAGTCAAACAGCCCAAATCTCAGCGGCTGCAAAGTGACACCCTGAGCCAACAACAACAGCAGCAGCAGCAACAGCAGCAGCAGTAGCAGCAGCAGCAACAGCAGCAACAGCAGCAGCTGTGGTAGTAGTTTGCCTGGTATCTGCTACAACCACAGTTCCTTGCAGCAGCTTCAGCAGCAACACCAGCAGGAGCAGCAGCAACATCAGCAGCAACAACAAGAGCAGCAGTGCCGCCAGCAGCAAAAACAAGGAGAGCATCAGCAGCACCAGAAGCAGCAGCAGCAGCAGCACGGAGAGCAGCAGCAAGCTTACATCAACAAGGGCGTAAGACAATGCCCCTTTCACTGCTGCAACACCCAAACAAAGATACGAACTCCTCTCGTTTCTGCTGCTGCTGCTGCTGCTGTTGCTGTTGCTGCTGCTGTTACTGCTCCTCTTACTGCTCCTGTTACTGTCATCGTCAAGATCAGAAAAGCTGCTGCTGCTGCTCCTGCTGCTGCTGTCTTTAGTGGGCCCGTCGCTGACGCCGACGCTGGCAGTCGTGTAGCTTCGAACTACCCTCCAGCTGCTGCTGCTGCTGCTGTTGCTGCTGCTGCTGCTGCTGTTGCTGTTGCTGCGGTTGGTCGGAGATAACAAATTTGGTAGTTGCGGTGAAGAGGCAACGTAGCAGTAAAAGGGGCGGGAGCTGCATGTACACCCCAGCACAGCCCCTTCGTTCCTCCTAATATTCCTGCTGTTGCTGCTGCTGCTACTACTTCTGCTCGTGCTGCTGCTGCTGCTGCAGCTGCAGCGGTTTGGCAGCAAGCGCTGCAGCAAGTCCGCAGTTCGGATGGCCGCCACCCCATATTGTGCTGCTGCTGCTCTTCTTTCTGTTGCTGCTGTTGTTGCTGCTGCTGCTGCTCGTGTTGCTGCCGCATGCACCATCCGAGTGTGCAGTGCTGCAGCAGCTGCTGAAGCTGCTGCAGCACGAGCCCCTTGCTGCAGCAGCATCTCCCTTCTGTGGACTGTGCAGATGATCCCGGAGCTATACGGATGCAGCTGTTGTTGCTGCTGCAGCTGCTGCAGCAGCTGCTGCTGCTGCAGCGCGCGCCGCTGCTGCAGTTGCTGCTGGAGAGTTAGTGGTTCTGCCGCATTTCTCTGTCGTTACACCGCGGCTCGCTATCCTTCTGCAGCTTCTGCTGCGGCAGTTGCTGCTGCTGCTGCTGCTAAACAATTTTCTTATTACAGTTGCTGGCTGTATCGATTGCTGCAGCGGGGCTGCGGCTGTGCATGCAGCCACTGAAGCAGCAACTGCAGCAGCAGCAGCGGCTCCTGCGGTTAATTGAATCAAATTTATTTTGTTATCGAGGAAGCAAACTGCAGCAGACCTCATGTTCGCCCCCACACTGGGGGCAGCGTCTGCTGCTGCTGCTGCTGCAACGGCAGCAGCAGCAGCAGCAGCCAAGGCAAACTTCTCCGTATTCCAAGCTGCAGCAAAATGCAGCACAATACTTGGAACGGGAAGAATTAAACACCCTCACAGCAGCCGCAGCAGCAATTGCAGCAGCCGCAGCAGCAGCAGCTACAACAGCAGCAGCAGCAGCACCAGCAGCAGCAGCAGGATTGGGAGGCTTGCACTCTCCACCTCTGTCTGCACCCCTCAGGTGTGGAGCTACGGCGTCCCCCCTCTTGGATGCAGCAGCAGCAGCAGCGCAAGCAGCAGCAGCAGCAGCACAAGCAGCAGCAGCAGCAGCAGCAGCAGCTTTGGGTTGTGGCAGCAGCTACAGCAGCTACGATTTTCTAAACATCCGCTGAAGCTCAAAACGCTCGACCTGCAGCATCCTCATGTCCCTGGTTGGTCATTCAGGGTTTAGGGTTTAGGGTTTAGGGTTTGGGGTTCAGGATTCATGGATTAGGGTGTAAGGATTAGGGTTTAGGGTTTAGGGTTTAGGGTTTGTGTGCAGCCCCTGAGCATTTGCCTCCTCCTCGTTATGCTGCTGCTCGTCTATCGGGTCTGCAGCAATTTGTTCCTGTAAACTGCTACAGAGAAATGGTGAGGGTTTAGGGTTTAGGGTTTAGGGTTCTGTTGCTGCTGTTGCTGATGCTGCTGCTTCTGCTGCAGCTTTGTGCGCTGGTGTTGCTGCTTCGCTGCTGCTGCTCCTTGCGGTGCTGCTGCCTTGCTGCTGCTTCCTGTTTGATCAGTACTGCTGCTGCTGCTGCTGCAGCAGTTTGCTTCTCCTTAGCATTCCAAACAGCACCAACAGCCGCATCAGCAGCAGCAGCAGCAACAACAGCAACAGCACCATAATCATTATCATCATCAGCATCATCATCAGCAACAGCAGCAGCAGCAGCAGTTGCAACAGTAGCACCACCAACAGCAGCACATGCAGCAGCAGCAGCATATACAGCAGCAGCAGCACTTGCAGCAGCACGTGCAGCTGCAGCAGCAGCAGCAGCACTTGCAGCAGGATATGTGTGTGTGTACAGCGCATGGATTTATGTCGGGAAGGCGTTTTTATAGGCAGCGACGCCCCGCTGTCTGTACACCCCAAGTGGGAGTCCTGGCGAAGAAGAAAATATAACTGCATTTCGGATGATAAGTTTTATTTAGCAGCAACTCGAGCAAAAGGAGTCAACTATTACCCCAGGTCTACCTCCTGCTGCGTCTGCTGCTCTTCCTGCTGCATCTGCTGCTCCTGCTGCACGTGTTGCTCGTGCTGCTGCATGGGCTGCTCTTCCTGCTGCATCTGCTGCTCTTCCTGCTGCATCTGCTGCTCTTCCTGCTCGCTCTGCTGCTCCTACTGCTGCATCTGCTGCTCCTACTGCTGCACGTGTTGCTCGTGCTGCTGCATCTGCTGCTCTTCCTGCTGCACGTGTTGCTCTTGCTGCTGCATCTGCTGCTCTTCCTGCTGCATCTGCTGCTCCTCCTGCTGCATCTGCTGCTCCTACTGCTGCACGTGTTGCTCGTGCTGCTGCATGTGCTGCACTTCCTGCTGCATCTGCTGCTCTTCCTGCTGCATCTGCTGCTCCTCCTGCTGCATCTGCTGCTCTTCCTGCTGCATGTGCTGTTCTTCCTGCTGCTGCTGCATGTGCTGCTGCTGCTGCTGCTGCACTAGGGTTCTGCTGCTGTTGTTGCTGTTGCATGAGTTGCTGTTACTGCTCTTGTTCCTTTTTTTTTGCTGCTGCTGTCTTTGCTGCACGTGCATGTGCTGCTGCTGCTGTCTTTGTGCTGCACTTGCATTTGCTGCTGCTGCAGGCAGCACGTGTTTGCTGTTCAGTGGCAGGAAGACGGCGTACACCGCATTCGATGGTTTCGCGCAGCTTTTGGAATCAAAAGAGCAAAAAAAGCTGCAGAAAATTTCAGACTTACACTCGAAGCCGTTGGTCAGCTAACAGGGTTTAGGGTTTAGGGTTTAGGGTTTAGGGTTTAGGGTTTAGGGTTTAGGGGTTAGGGGTTAGGGGTTAGGGTTTAGGGGCTAGGGGTTAGGGTTGGGGCTAGGGTTTAGGATTTAGGGTTTTAAAGGGTTTGTTGATTCATTAAGGGTTATTAAGGGTTATTAAGGGTTATTAAGGGCTATAAAGGGCTATAAAGGGCTATAAAGGGCTATTAAGGGTCTAGGGTTTAGGGTTTAGGGTTTAGGGTTTGTGTGTATTTGTTTAGGAAGAGTAGACGGCGAGCGCACAGAGCGTCAAATTAAATTAAAAGCTGCAGCCCTGCGCATGCGTCTTCGGCTGAGAAAAAAATTATTTGCGAAGATATCCTCTGGACAGTTTTAGTTATTTGTTTATTTATTTATGTGTTTGTTTGTTTGTTTGTTTGTTTATTTATTTATTTGTTTGTTTGTTTGTTTGTTTGTTTATTTGTTTGTTTGTTTATTTGTTTATTTGTTTATTTATTTTTTGTTTGGTTGGTGGTGGGCTCGGAAAAACAAACAAATAAACAAACAAACAAACAAATAAACAAATAAATAAACAAATAAACAAATAAACAAACAAACAAACGGAGACAGAAGAAGAAAATAAATAAACAACAGAGAGAGAGAGAGACAGAGATAAAAATATAGACAGAGACAAAGAGAGAGACTGTTGGCTGCTTTTCTACTGCCCCATCTATTAGGGTTTAGGGTTTAGGGTTTTAGGTTTTAGGGTTTAGGGTTTAGGGCCTAGGGTTTAGGGTTTAGTGGTTAAGGCAATGGACGCTCTCAGAAGCCGCAGCCTCCAAAGGCAAGTCAATCGAGCTAGCCAGCTGCTGCTGCTGTTGCTGCTGTTGCTGCTGCTGCTGCTGCTGTTAGGCCGTGTTGTGTACAGAGGCACCGCCTGCAGAGCCAGCTGCAGCACACAGCTAGCTAGCCAGTGAGCTGTAAGCTAGCTTAGCTAGCTAGCTAGCTAACAGCCCAGCTAGACAGCTAGCTAGCTAGTGCAGCAGCAGCAAATGATGCAGCAGCAGATGCTTCAGCAACAAATGCTGCAGCAGCAAATGCTGCAGCAGCAAATGCTGCAGCATCTATCCCTTTAGCAGGTCGGGACCCTTGAAGCGACGAACAGCCCAGCAGCAGCAGCAAAGGCAGCAGCACAAGCAGCAGCAGCAGCAGGAGACGCATTGTCTCCATCTGCCAGTATATAAACTATGGGGCTGCTGCTGCTTCTGTTGTTGCTGCTGCTGCTGCTGTTCGTGTTGCTGCTGCAGCTGCTTCTGCTTCTTCTTCTACTCTTTGTGTTTGCTGCTGCTGCTTTTGCTGTTGCTGTTTTTGCTGCTGCTGCTTCTGCTGCTGTTGATGGCGGAGCACCCGAAGAGATACATACATGAGCGTTCGCTGCTGCTGCGACGGCAGCAGCAGCAACAGCTGCTGCAGCTGCTGCTGCTGCGAGACGTGAGATTGCTGCAGGGATTGAGGGGTTCCTTCGGGTCGAAAGGCCTGCAGCTGCACTTGGCCTGCCGTCTGCAGCAGCAGCAGCAGCAGCAACAGCAGCAGCAGCACAAACCCAAACTCCCCTTGAGGCGCAGCAACAGCAGCAGCAGATGTTTGGGGTGATTCCGCTGAGTTTAGCAGCAACAGCAGCAGACGGTTTAATGTTAGTCTGAGGCGACAAATGATAGAAGGCAGCAGCAGATGATACTGTAGCAGCAACAGCAGCAGCAGCAGCTGATGCTGCAGCTGCAACAGTAGCAGCAGCAGCTTGGCTTCTTGCCTCTAGAAGGAGACCGTGGGTCTCCTCGCACTTTGAGTCGATAGGGTGTACAGACAACGGCGAATCCTGCAGCAGCATTTGCAGCAAATCTTGAAAGCATCAGCTGCAGCAGCATTAGCAGCAGCGAGAGGAACAGCAGCAGCAGCAGCAGCAGCAGGGTTGCCTGGGTGCGACTTGCCTTCAGCTCTTCCGGAATCAGCACCTTTTCGATCTGCAGCACGCAACAGCAGCACAGAAAACGAAAACCTTTGCTGCTGCTGCTGCTGCTGCTTCTGCTGCTGCTGCAGTGACCATCGCTACAGCTGCTGCAGGTGCAGCTGCCGCAACAGCTGCTGCGGCACCTCCACTGAAGGCTGCTCGTGTTGTAAGAGGAAGCACAAGGGCAGCAGCGGCTGCTGCTGCTGCAGTTGCTGCTGCTGCAGCTACTGATATTGTTGCGGCTGGCACAGCGGCAGCTGCTGCAGCTGCTGCAGCAGCAGCAGCCTCGTGCATCAGCTGACTTGCTGCAGCGGGAGGTGCAGCTGCCCGGTTTGTTCCCCTATGGAGGAGAAGACACGGAAGAAGATACTCTGCAGCAGCAGCAGCAACAGCAGCAGCAGCAGCAGCAACAGCAACAGCAATGACAGCAATAACAGCAGCAACAGCAGCGACAACTGGCGCTGCAAAGGCAGCGGCAGCAGCAGCACCAGCGCGACAGATTTACTGTGGCAGGAAACAGCACCAGCAACAGCAACAGCAACAGCGACATCAGCAGCAGCAACAACAGCAGCAGCAGCAACAGCAGGCTGCTGCTCACAGTATTATTTGCATCGAAGTTGAAGCAAACTGGAAGCAGCAAATCTTCTCTCACAGCAAACAGCCACGCAGAGATCGAAGCCTCTCCCCCCTGAGCATACACCCCAACTACCTCCTCACGAGCTGCAGCAGCAGCA